TCGGGGCATCCTTCTGTTGGATGGCTTGTTTTTTGACCGGTTGTATGATCCTGTTGTTAGAAGGAGATTCTCTTTTTTTTTTAATCATTAGAATTCAAATTAATTAGTATATTCAAACTTTTCGTGAATCTACAGCAGTGATTCACTGACATATCGCAAAAACGATCCGAATGATAAGGGAATGCAATAATTTTATATTATCCCAGCCAACCAGAAGTCGAAAATAATAAGTGTTGCCAAACCGAAACATAAGCAACTCGACTGACTCAACACAAAAATGATCCCGCAGAAAGAGAAAGCACAGACAAACAGACATAATACTCGCAAGTTGTTCATGGAACTAGCATTTAATGGTCAATTTAAAAGTATCGTCGTTGGTAGTACCACCACCTGTGGCGCGCATAGTCAATTCCCTTGCGTTTGACGTTTACACACTACCGCCATCTGTTCAGCGCACTACCCACCACAGTGTACTCAACAGATGGCGGTAATGTTTTAGCAACGATGTTTTACGGCGAGAAATATTCAATGTGTTATGTCTGTTTGTCTGTATTTATATATAGTATTTTGTTCCTTTCCTAGAACATGAATAAACGTGACGTATGATAAATAGTGTGAGAAGCAATTTACAACAGAAATGTATAAGCCTAAAAACTTTGCCTCTCGCAGTCTTTTTGAAAATACGTTATAATTATGCTCACAGTTCGAGAAAGCATTTTAAATTTCTATTTCTGTGATGTACATAAATGGAGCATCATATAGCAAACAAGTTTTAATTTTAGGTAGTTTAAAGCTAAAATTTAGGTAAAGCTATGAGAAATTTATAATATTGAACGCATCCATCCATACAATTCGAAAAAAAAAATAGTGTAGATTACTAATAAATATGTGCACATAAATGAAGCGTCACATATAACAAAAGTTTACATTATAAACCGTGTAAAGTTCTGATACACTGCAAGAAAAGTAGCAAATATTGTAAACAACATTGTTAACAACATCAACACGTCTCTAAGCAAACATTTGGCAGGTCATCCAAAGATGGTCGGTATTAAAATTGAATCCGAGTGGGAGTTTACCACCATAAATGTACTCTCTGATGTAATATTAATTTATTGATGTAACATCTTAAATATAGTACATATAACGTGGTACATTTCGTAACGGGACACCTTCGCAGAAACGCACTTTTTAGAGCATCAATGGCATAAGCAACCGGTGGAAACTAACGATTTTAAAATGGCTCACTACTTGACTAGCCTATTGGTCCCAAGCAAACCGATTATCGTACCCCATTCCAGTCGAAATTCTAGTACTACACTATGTTTGTTTTGATTCGCTATGAAAGTTTAACAGATAAAATTGGGGGCTCGTGGATTTTCCTATGTTTCGAGGGGTGCATCGATTAGCTTGGGACAGAAGATAGTGCCAGAGCTGAGCCAAAAAGTTGAGCACGTTTCTTCGGGACTTTCTGGTCTTACACGGTAAGAAAAAAGTACCCAACGGCTAGTTCACTTTTACCTACTTTTGACTAGTTTGTCTCATTTTCTCCTTCTAATGTTGTCAAAAAAGAAGGAGCAAAACCACCCAACAGGGGTAGTAAAGTGTAGGAACCCAACGTTGGGTATAATCATATTTACTCACTGTTGGGTACAACTAACTTACTTTTGGTTAAAAAGCTAGTGGAAAATTCCATACGAACTGCACACAAGTAAATCAAAATTACTTTGACCCGCTTTACCTACTTTTGGGTTCCTGCACTATAGTGCCGAGATGAGGGAAAAGAACTTAATTTTGGGTACTTTTTTCTAACCGTGTAGAGTTACCTCTATGGTATAAGTGCATATATTAGCTCAGGTAAATGTTTTTCAACCCTAGTTGATTCTAGGCGTTTCTTCTAGACACCAATTAAAACAAAACTGTGCATTGTAATTTTTGAATAAAAAAATTATTAAGGACTATTATTAAAAACATTTTGTAAGCGTCGCGTTATGGTAATCTTCAATCCGTTTTTTTGCAAATGGTGTCCCGTTACGAAAATATGGTCATATTTTTCATTTAAGTAAGGGTTACCGATCAAAATGTTTAAAAAATATTGTTTTTAGTTTAATAAAGGGTCAACTAAGTCTTAATCCGCTTTACCTTTCAACAGAATGCAGTTAATAAAGGTTCGCTATTGGTGGCTTGTGTTCGAGGCAATATATTCCGAAATCAATTATTCAGCCACCGAATAGGACGCAAAAACCGCCAAATGAAAGGTTTATTGGTCGCATAGAACTCAATGGATTATTTTTAGAAACCTGGTTTCGGAGATATGGTCAGAGTAAGTTCCGGTGTGTATGGGTCATGGGATACCCCAGAGGGAGTGGCAGTTTTTTTCCTTGATTTGTTTTCCGTCGATCTTGTTTTCCATGCTGAGCACCAATGCTACCGACGCCAGGAAGGCAGCTCCCACACCTGGACCCTACCTATCGACCCATCAACTCATGATGTTATGCCTCAGAACATCCCGGCGACGCCGACTGGGATTGAATCCAGGCCTGCTGGGGTGAGAGGTAATCACGCTTACCACTACACCACCGGTGCCGTTAGAGTGGCAGTTTCTAACTTATATCAAAACCCTCCAGGCGATAACTCAAATCACATGAGAATTCAAAAGCAAGATCATTGGTATTCATAATGAGTATCCAAAACCACATTGACGTAATCATGTTTTGTTTTACCGGAGGTCATAATTTGGCTTGTACTAAAACCAATCACGCGACACATAAAACTACATGAATATTCAAAAAGAAGATTATTGGTAGTCAAATCGAGTGTCCACACCCGGAAATGTTCCGGGTACCCCCGGGGAAGTGACCAGCATCTGACTTAATCCTGTGGTGCCAGTGTTGTTGTGATAAGCATGATTGCCTCTCATCCTAAAGGGCCTGGGATCAATCCCAGTTGGCACCGCCGGGATTTTATGAGGCATAAAATTTGCGATCACACCTTAGTGAAGCCGTACCCGGTCTATGAATTGATGCGTCGATATGTAGAGTCCAGGTGTGAGAGCTACCTCCCTGGCATCGGTAGTATTGGTACTCAGTACGGAAAACAAGATCGATGGAAAACAAATCATGGAAAAAGATTTGTCTTGAACTAAAACCTATTAAGCGACACATAAAACATGAGCATCCAAAAATAAAACCAGGAGTAGACATATTGGTTGCCCAGGCCAAACCCGGGCATGTTCCTAGTTCCTCCGGATAAGTGGACAGAATCTGACTGACTGACTAAAAAACCCATCATGTGACACATCAAATCACATGAGAGTACAAAAATAAGGCCATTGGTAGTCATATTGAGTTACCCAGACAATATACGGGTCTATGTGAATCCTAATATTCGATTCGTCGTTCCCTAGTTTGAAGTGTTTAAGACTATGGCTCTGATGCATGGTCAATATCGGTGTCATTGCTTGATTGTGCTTTTGGTTTTGACTGACAAAAAGGTGTGCCTTTGGAGGGTGCCTAATATTAGAATAAGTTGCTTGCGATAAAGGTAGGAATGACATCTGTCTCAAAACTTCATCACTTCTCAATAGTGATGGAGTAATACGACATGCACTAAACAAAAGACACGCTGGAATTTGCATTGACCACGTTGGGGCCTCCCTTAGCTCAGTCGGTTAACACGCAGCTACAAAACAAGACCATGCTGGAGGTAGCTGGGTTCGATTTCCGGTCCGGTCTGGGTATGTTTCGGGTTAGAAAATTTCTCGACTTCCTTGGGCATAGAGTATGATTGTACTTGCCATAGAATTATTCTAATGCATGTATGATAAAAGCTCTCAATTAATAACTGTGGAAGTGCATCTATAACACTAAGTTGAAAGCACGCGAATGAAAAGAGGAAGAAAAAACGGATGTTAACGTCATTCATAATCCTGACCACAATAGATCAAATTACTGTTCGCAGTGGATTAACATTCCGAACCAAGAGGAAAAATCTATAGTTTAGATCCCCAGCTTTCCTAATAAAAAAAAAACTCAACCTAGCCAATAGATGTTTCAATTCAGAGGTAAAAAATGTAAATTTTTACTGAAGAGATATCATCACTAAATTTTATCGGGGTAAAAAATGTCAAGAAATGTTTCCTCTAACATTTTCATTACAATTACCATCTCTGATCTGGACTGTATGACCCTATTATGGCCTATATGGAAATACCATACGCCACAATAGGAACACACTATAATAGGAACTTAGAGCCATGACGGGAAAATCTACTCTAGTGATACAGTTGTTTGCTTCTCATTGCTCAGAGCATTTCTTCTTATTCTTTGACAATCCACAAATATAAACATTCTAGCATTGGTATTTTATATGGAAAGCACAATGATATTCTATGCTCAGGGAAGTCGAGCAATTTTACAACTCAAAAAATTTTCTTGACACGCTGAGAATCGAACACGCTTCCTCTCATTAAGCTATCGGAAGGTCCTAAATAGATTTTGCATAACCTTATTTATTTATTTTAAGCATCACTATAAGGAGCAAGAACTGCATTTGTTCAAATCAGTGTATCCGTTTTTATAAAATCCAGTCACATTCGATCCAAAAAGCTTATCTTCAAACAATCTGGGCAATATTCCAAAAATTATTAGACGAAACAACAATCACTAATTCTCGACATTTCACCACACTACGCTCACAAAAAAAATAAGTTGGATCACTGATCACACACGCATAGAATCCATTCAGAATTGCATTACCTCACAAAACGAAGGCCATGCCTCATGAGTGATGAATGCTTGCATGATTATTTTATAATAATGTCACATGGTGCTCGATTCTATCAGCGTCAGATCACACAAAACATAACTGAGCGATACCGGGTCAATGGGAAGGGGTAGTAGCCACGGAAGGATAGTAACCTTCCCACAATGCGAAGCACCGCTAGCCCGCAAAGCGTTGAACACATATACTAAAGTATAACACAATTTATATGTACGTACGTTTTTAGTTGAAAGCTCCGTCATACACGAATCCAGATAAATATGCATGCATATATTTTATATTTACGCAATGTTTGCAGCACCAACAATCACCATGTATCGCGCGGGGTCATTCAGCTTGCTATCCATTTGATTTACACGTCACAAAGGATTTCCTGTTGTTTTTCATTATTCTGTTATTTCGCCACTAGCCCACACTTTCGTGCACGGAATGTTTTGTCACAGAGATGATATAATTACGCATCCAGTAGTGTATTTATTAATCCGCAGAAATACCTTGACAGTTTGGGACTAAGCATAGCCGATAACACCGTTTCGTTGAGAATCTATTCCCGATTCCAACCTTCTCCTCCGTCTAAGATTGGTGTTCTCTTCACTTTTACGCGGCACCTTGTAATTATCACATCATCATCACATTTCGCTGCACACTTTTCCGTGCGATTTCCCCAAGCTTCCGTTTTTGCCACCCTATTGTAGTTGGCTGCCAACAGTCATGCCATCATGCCATCGCTCGCCATCTCCCGGTAAGTCATCAGCAAGCAGAAAGCAACACAATTTTCCCTCTTTGGAGGGTACGCAAACACTCGTCCAGGCACTTTTGTATACACTGTTTCCATGGAATCTCCTCACTTTTTGCCTCAGAACACCACACGCAACTTCATCCAGGCCAACACCGTCAATCGAGCGTCGCGATTTTTTGCATCCTTCGAAATCAAAGCCTCGTCGTAAACTAACATCCTTGTTGCGTGAAAAACTGCTTCTATATGCAGAACCTGTGCATTCGCAGCATGCTCGGCTAGCAGCAAGAGAACGAACTTCCCCAGTGCCTTCAGTGGGAGAGCTTTTGCTGAATTTTCTCGGGAAATCTCTTTCCCGTTCTTCTCTTGCTCACTCTCCCGCATGAGACGGCCACCCACACAACGATGGAAATTCGAAGCATTTTCAACGGTTTCCCTCAACACGCAAGGCGGTGTTTTTTCTAATGCACAACATTGTTGGTGAATACCACCCTTAAATTGCAACACAACACTTTGAGACAGCAGCGAACAAATTTCAATGATTATGTAGAATGAATTATTGATGATTTATTCTTACGTTAACTACTGGCAGGAGGGTTGGCTCTGTAAAGCAGAATTAATGCATCTATAAATCGAGAGAGGAATGTGAATGTGCTTAGTTTTTGTTCTATCTTTAAAGGAGTAGTACGAACAGGGTGGCAAATTTGCATTCTGTTAAAACTTGGTGTGAGCTTGTCTAGTTCCCTGCAATTTTGGGAGGTCCCTTATGCACAAAACTGGGAAATGTTAAATTCTAGTATAGGTTTGAACGAACAGTATGCAGAATTTGCAATGTTTTACCGCATGGACAGATTCTGTAATTTAGTCTTCAGTAGATATTCTCAGATGACCGGACAGAACGTTCTGAGCTAAATGAACTGTCAAAATCTGATTCAATTGAACATTCACATTAGAATTTTTCCGAGGATTATTTCTTGTCTTACTAGATCAAATTTGTGAGTATTTCAATCGAACAGAAATTCAATCACCTTTATTTTTCATCTGATTCACAAATTCAATTTATTTTGGAATGAAAAATAATATTCTATCTCTTTTGAGTAATTGATCTTTGTTGGTTTATTAATGGCACTATGAAATACGCAAAATATTGCAATACACTCAATTATTATTTCGCACGGACATCGAATCGATTAGAAAAGTTATTTGAAATGCTACCTTCTCGCCAGGGCTGCAAAATATTTTACATACAAACCCCTGCTGCTGAATTGTGTTTTTTTGTCTCCACCCATCTATCTCTTTCTCTCTGAGTATTACTAGTAGCCAGAAGGTTTCTTAAATAATTATAAAATTTTGATGTATATCATTCGACGTAAAATTCATCCATCAACTTTGAGTATTTTTCCCCTTGATTTTGTTTTCCGTCGATCTTGTTTTCCATGCTGAGCACCAATGCTACCGACGCACAGTGGCACGAATATGAATAAAGACGGTCAAAAATATTTTCTACCCTTTTTCGACGTTTTAGAGACTGGCTGTCTTGGGAGAAGTTGCTCAAAATTATATCTCGCATCTTTTGAAATACACACCTGAATAATCTTTAAGCTAGTATTACACATCCAAATTCTAACTTTTTCCAGTTACGAGATAATGGTTCCATGTCTTCCACAAAGTTGCAGAGCAGTTGATTTTATGAACATTTGCTAAAGACACCAAATTTCTACATCATAACTCTGTAGAGCTATAATAGATTTTCTTTTAAGACTACCTTAATATTGGTTTTTTGAGTTAATTAGTGCTTTTTTCAAATTTGATCAATTTATCATGTTCTAAAAAATTGTTGGCATCATTAAAATATACAACTTTGCTGAATACACCAATGCTTTTCATTGACATCTATGTGATATACAGCCCATCAAGCGTTTTTGTGACGTCATATTCAACGGCTCGAAAAGAGGGTGGGCGGGCCCTGGCGGGGTCTAAAACTGGTTGTATTTTGAAGATTACCTTATAAAATAGTACTTCTGAAAATTTCAGCGTTGGGTACTGAGGGGTACCTAGTCAAATCTCGATTCGAAAATGTCAATATGAAATGACGAAATGACAAAGATTCAGCAGCAAGGATACAATACATAAGCGGTGAGATCTAACTGATTACAACTAGATATAATAATATGAAATGCATCCTACTAAATACGTGCCATCTACAAAGCAGGAATTGCTTTGATGATGGAAGTGTACACGCAGGACCAATATACATTTTATATCGGTACTACGTGTATGCGGGGCTTGTTGTAAGTGAAAGTAACCTCGGAATGGACGTGAGTGACCATTTTTCTTCCATAAAAACACTGCCGGACAGTGGAAGTTGGATTGTATATACATACATATACATACATACATAAGTAGCACACTCGTAGCACACATTGGTTTATAACTTGTACTAAATATATATAAACGAGATTTGACTAGGTACCCCTCGGTACTCAACGCTCAAATTTTCAGGAGTACTATTTTATAAGGTGATCTTCCAAATAAAATCAGTTTTCGACTACATCAGGGCCCGCCCACCCTCTTTTCGAGCCGTTGAATATGACGTCACAAAAACGCTTGATGGGCTGTATATCACATAGATGTCAATGAAAAGCATTGGTGTATTCAGCAAAGTTGTATATTTTAATGATGCCAACAATTTTTTAGAACATAATAAATTGATAAAATTTGAAAAAAGCACTAATTAACTCAAAAAACCAATATTAAGGTAGTCTTAAGAGAAAATCTATTATAGCTCTACAGAGTTATGATGTAGAAATTTGGTGTCTTTAGCAAATGTTCATAAAATCAACTGTTCTGCAACTTTGTGGAATACATGGAACCATTATCTCGTAACTGGAAAAAGTTAGAATTTGGATGTGTAATACTAGCTTAAAGATTATTCAGGTGTGTATTTCAAAAGATGCGAGATATAATTTTGAGCAACTTCTCCCAAGACAGCCAGTCTCTAAAACGTCGAAAAAGGGTAGAAAATATTTTTGACCGTCTTTATTCATATTCGTGCCACTGTGCGACGTCAGGGAGGCACTTGGTCCTACCTATCGACCCATCAACTCATGAACTGGGGACCAACGGCTTTACTTCCCTTGATCAGAGATGTTATGCCTCAAAACATCCCGGCGGCGCCGATCCCAGGCCTGCTGGGATGAGAGGTAATCACGTTTACCACTGCACCACTGGTGCCGCTACCTTTGAGTATTAAATTATTAATTGTTTATCAATAGTACACCATAGAAAATTCATCAATCATTATGACCGAATTCAACAAATCACGTGCTTGCTTGCCAAACAAAAGCAGTAATTTCCATCAAAAATTGAAACACCGTGGGAGCTTCATTTGCTATTCTTTATAAATCTGACAACCATACAAATTTATGTTCTATCATTCTCTGCTTGACCGTCAAGCAGTACAGTCCAGAATTGCCACATGGCTCATTGCTGCAACAAATGTGGCAAGCAGCACGCACCTGAATCATGCGACAGGATGGAGAACACCGAACACAATACGCCAACTGTGGTGCATCACATCGAGCTACCAGCAAGTCTTGTCCGTAGCGTGCGGAATTCATGGAAATCCGCAGAACCAGTCGGGACGGAACAAAGGTTCCGGCACACAATGAGCAGAATTTCCCCGCCATCAGCCAACGGCGTCGATTGACGGCAATCGAATGTGCAGGAAGGCTGCTTCCACACCTGCGTAGGATATCGCACCCATTCAACACAACAACACATGGGCCGAGGCCAACGGCTTTACTTTCCTTCCGAAGGAAGACCTGACCAGAGATTTGTATGCCTTAGAAAAATTCAATCGACCTCGGCTGGGATTGAAACCAATCCCATTGGGATGAGAAAGCAGTCACGCTTACCACTACACCACCGGCGCTGACTATCGAGGCTGTTAGTGTGTAGATGGATTCGCTGATTGGAGCGAGCTGAGAAAAATTGAAGTGATACGGCAGAAAAGTTTACTCTGCCTAATTATCGTGCATCTTTAGATTTGGTTAGAGGAAAATATGCATATTTATGCAAATGGATATGCGCTCCGGACAGTGGGTGATTACGTTGCAGTTTTAATTTCATCATGATTTTCGTTTGTTTCGAGTACATATTGTTTCTCGGTTTGTAAGGTAGGATATGTGTGATGTCACGATCGCCAGGCTTGGCACTCAGTCGATTAGATTTTATTGTATGCGTGCGTTTACCAAATTATGTGGAATATAAAAGCGTTATTTTCAGTAGAATATGGCTTTTGGTCGACCCAAGTTCAAACACGTGTTTGAGTCTTGATGGGAAAAGATATTAAGATACCCAGGCCGTTATTGTAGAAAATCGTAACTCTAATTAAAAGTAGGGTACGTGTAAAAATTGGCTGCAATCCGCTCGTCATAAAACTAAAAAATATGGTTTTGTGCTGAGCATCGTGGAGTCGTCTGAGCTGTAAAATTCCCTTCGGGCTCAAGGTCGACCATATTTTGGCAAGACGCGATCTGTAGTTTATGAAACTCATTTATGTTTTCATGAAGAATGTTATCCTTAGATTGTAGTTTGATTAACCTGTGTTTAGTTTGTATTTTGTGTGTCTGGATTTTTTATGTTTTTTTTAATAATTGTATGATTACACTTCTAATATCAAGATGAATAGGAATAAGTTGTATGGTAAATCATATTTCAAACCTCCTTCTCCCTCTTCTCATCCATAAAACTGTAAATCTCCACTAACCCTACGACCGCGAATATTCGGTTCAATTCCTACAACTCTAGATTTAAGGCATTATTTACGTATAACACAAATGATTACTTGGCTCTATAAAGTTTATTCGATTAAGCCTGTACAAATAAGTTAATTTTCAAAAAAAAACTTTAAAATATTTTTTTCGGATTTTGACTTTTCAGTGAATAGTGGATTGCAATTCATTAATGGAACAGCTCTGAAGTCAGCGGCACCGGTGGTGTAGTGGTAAACGTGATTACCTCTCACCCCCAGCAGGCCTGGGTTCAATTCCAGTCAGTGCCACCGGGATATTCTGAGGCATAACATGTCTGTACCTGAAATATGTTTGAGTACCTAAAATATGTTTAAATTAAATGTAACTGTCATGAAGTTCTCTGATATTCATCTAAGATCACCAAATTTTCTCCAAGG